TGATAACTCGCCAACAACGATATTATTATAATTTAGTATCAAAATAATACAATGCCGTATGCATAAATCAATGTCTAGTAAAAAGTACCACACTGAAAACGGCCGTTGTTAATTACAATTAGTGTGCAAACATCATTAAATAATGGCGAGAAAAACAATCCCAGCATAATATAATAATATAGTTATGTCAGGCAGTTTTAAACCACTATCTATTAAAACTTGGCACACACATTTGGTAATATAAGATCAGAAAATTCTAGACAGAATAATAATGACTAATTGAATCCTTAGAGGTTAAAATCAGGCATCTTAGAGGTTATTGTAAAAACCTATATTATTGATACAAAAAACAGATTTTCACAGAATCTAAACTGTCTTGGAATATGTTTTGCACAAGACGTAAAAATAATAATCGATTCATGAGTTTATTTTAAATTATTGTTTTTTATAATGTATCTCACTATATCATTACTTTCATATGGAATTTTCCCACAACCTAGTGACCGCCTCGATCCCGACGAGCTTTGTCCGCAATGAAAATAGAAGGACGTTTTCGCTTATAATAACCTCAATGTCAAAACCGGTCATAAAAAATGATTACTATATTAAACTAGTAATTTCCTAAAAATACTACGATTTAAGTTTTGAAAACACATTTAAATTGTTCATAACATTTACAAGCATGGGCGTCATTCGGTGGACGGGGGGGGGGGCAGGGACGACGCCACTAAATTCATATGATAGTAATACGCGTGATATACTGTTATTACTATTACCGCTATCCACAAAATTAAAACAATTATTTCTTTAATAAAAACCTTGCCTATCAACTGCCCTAAATAAAAAAATTTTTCGCCTCCCAAAAGAAGCGTTAAACCATATTTACGAACCACCATGAGAGATGTATGATGGTCATTGCAACTGAAAAGGAAGAAGCAAGTAGTACTGGAATTAAAGTGTATTCCTATGTATGCCTTATTTTTAAATAATAGTAATAAATAATGGCTTCAGCTAATTACTGATTTAACTGGTACACGGTTCTATGCGCATAGCTTCACAAAAAAATTCATAACTTCTACAATTTTGAAGTCCATCTAAAAGTTAAATACTCCAAATAAAATACAACTTAATAGGATGTGATTGTTTTCCGGTTTTAGTTTTAAAATATCCAAAAATTAGTGATTTTTGCAATTTATGCTACAAAATACACAAAAGTTCATTTGATCCTTTAAATTTGAAGAAAATTGGAGACATGACCTACAGTTGCGGTCGATTAGGCCCCATCTACATAAAACGGTCCATCGGAATTTCAAATTGGCCTGTTTAAAAGTTCACAAAGCTAGAAGAAAACTTAAAAGACGCCTCTGTTTACAAGGTATGGATCGGAGCAAAATTTTAAAATTATTTTTAGTATTTTTAATGAAATAGTCTTTATGTGAAGAATTGAAAATTTTAAAGTTATTTTATGTTTTTTTATAATAAAATTAGTAGTCACGAAATTGCAGATTAATTAATACTTTTTTTTATAACTAACATAAATAATTTTATCTTCGATGTAAAACTAAGAAAGTATTATTTTTTATTTTTTACTAATTTTGAAAATAAACGTGGCATTTTATTTAGAATATAATCCAATAGTTAGGATTAGCGTCCTTGGGTAACGTAATCGAGGAATTTTGGTGCAAGTCCGCTGTAACGCGCGTGGTCAATGTGAACCTGCAATTTTTTTATTTTACACATAATGAAAACTACAATCAAGGACTCGAAGGCCAAGGTGATGAGTCGGCGGCGTGGGTTTTTAACTAACGTTCAAGACATCATACTAAAACTCATTTCACATGGTCATCCGAATTGTATTTTCAATATAAATTATAATCATTTAATAGGTTTTATACATTTTAGTCAAACATTTCGTTATATTCATAATGAGTGGATGTTGTGATGAAAAAAACCCAAACCCATAAATGTACCTCCAAAAAAACCAGGAATTCTGTCAACTCTGTAAACAAACTTCAAAATACAATATAATTTATTCTAGAATAAATACAGTGTCGTTAAAAAATTAAACCAAATTCGCAAGAATGAAATGTTACTTTGGTATCCAAATATAGTAGGTTAATAAATTAATAATATTATAAGTACTGTACACAATCATTGAGTACATTATTAGTTATTACGTTTAATGAAAGCGTTACAATTCATAATTATGTAAATCATAAATTAAAACAAAAAAATGGATCATAGGTCGATAATCATCGGGTTAGACGACAGAAGATAAATAACATTATATTGCACCTTTTTCCCACCAATCAGTCTTTACACACAAAATGTCATAATTATTATTGAGAAAATGTATTAAAACTGGATATTGACCACGGCCACGTTTTCAGAACTTTATTCTTGTTTTAACAAATCAATAAATTTTGTAAAAGTTAAATAAAATATGTATAAGTCAAACTTCCTATTCAATTAAAAACACTTAACCAACAGGAATCGAGTTGGATAATGTAATGATAAATTCTGCACATATCTGTTTTTTGCGTTCATTGGATCATAAGAATAATGATAATTGTATCCCATTTGTAATTAAATTATAAGTAGAACCTCAAGGGCACCATTGATGTTAACGCCCTTACAGTCCAGTAATTAGATCGTTCTTAGGGCTACCGAGTGTAAACAGAAGCTGTATTTCACGGTGAATAATAAACTAGATTACGATTTTATATTTAAATATATCAAAATTCAATTAAAGATTATGTCTCGTCTAAGACTTGAAAATAAGGACTAGTTTTTTTACTTTGAAGTTTTACCATTTAATATTTTGATAATTTAAAACAACACTCTTGTGTCTAAACCTTAAACAAAGTCTTTGTGGAACACGACTACAGGTATTAAAATAGCAATATATGACAAAATTTTACGATGACAAATTTTAGTTTTGCCCATTAATTTAAATGTATTTGCAGAAACAATTTAAAAATAACTTACACGACTTCAGTACTTTATAAGTTCAAATTTTGTTTTTCTATCAAATATATATTAACTAAATATATATTTACACTTAATATAATTAAGTGTACTGGGAGCAACGCTCTTGGATTTTTAATTTCTCAAGTTAATGAAATAGACTAGTTAATAAAGTTTAGTTTTTGTGTTCTATACCAATACAAAAAATGTATTAAAAAAAAAAAAGTCTTTAAAAATACTAAAAACTGAAACAATCAGTTTTTTACAAAACATATTTTTCCAAATATATATATTTTTTTTAGATAAAAACTTCCTTTTCCGTTAATTTCTGTTTTCTTAAATTTAGATATCAAATTTCAATAATATTTAGACTAACAATTAATTTTACTACCGCATTAATGCCTAATATTATAGGAACTCGATGATTTTTAAGGTTTTTGAGATTGTTTAATCTAAACATTTTTTAAAATTCATAGGATAGAGTTGAGAATACTTTATTGGCAGTTAATTATTTTCAGCTGTTTATCCTAGCCTTTTTGACATTTTATGCCTTTACTTTGGTACACAACCGGAAAAATCGACTGTTACCAAAAAACTTAACGGTCCTTATATATATCCTTATATCCTCCCGTGGATAAAAAATGTCTCCCGTGGTTGCGGACTCGTACGCAAGCTGTTGTAAAGGGATGGGTTATGTTACTTTTTAATAATGATTTTTCTACAAAAACAATCTCTCGCTTTCCCAAAAATGTAGATAGAAAATATTTTCTAAGTTTTTCGAAAATTTGGCGACTTTAACTGTACTTCTATCGAAGGAGTTTTAATAATTTTAAAATTCAAGGCATTAATTAAGTTTTAAAAAATAATCTTTTTCGTTTTTTTAACCAAGTATAAAAAAAAAACATGAAAATAAAAAACCTTTTAGAGAGGACATAATACAAGTATTTAGCTTTCTATTAATACCAAATCATGTTTATGATAAGAGATGTTTACAGAATGCTAACTGTATTTTTGCACAAGAGACGGCAAATGTAGCGTCCACTTAATATACATTAGCTTTCATTTTTATTAACTTATTTTTTCAGACGGAAAAATAAAAAATGTAATACTTCAAATATATCGTGGAAATCGTTGTAGAAAATTGTTTTTATAATAAATAGTTATTTTTAATAAAATAATCGTTAACAAACTGTCAAATTTATGCTGTGTCAAATGTCAACCTATGTTTTAAACAGCTAGCTTTTTTATAAAGTTGTTAAACATATATCTATATTCTATATCGTAACAGTTTATTACTTCAGGTAATAACACAGTTCCCTATTTTTCTCAATCTAGTTTTTTTTTTCATTTCTTAAAATAATTTGTTTCATCTATTGTAGAAGTAATTTATCATACAAGTACAGCAGTTTTCTTCGCAAATAAATTAGGAATTAGTTAAAAATATTTCAAACCCATAAAACAAATATTTAAGGGAAGTATCAAGTTTTAATATATCAAGGTTTTCATACATTTTATTTTCTGAATTGATGCCATTATACTTTTTTTTATCGACAAAGAAAAATATTAGTTCGTTCCTCTTTTTCTACTGATTTTTTTTATACATAGTAGATTTGTTTTAAATTAATATTTATACCGCTATTTAGTAGCTAAAATAAATTTAAAAATCTCAAAAAATTAGAAAAATGTTTTTTTACTCAAAAGAACATAATGTCACAAGAGGAACAAAAAAATCTTTTTTTTTAACTATCCTAATATATATATCATATACTAAAAAAATGTTTGTTTTTCGGGAATGGCGATAAAAAGTGGTGTGGCCAGAAAACAAACAATGGGAGTGGGGGTTTTGACAAAATGTATTTGTATTGATAACTATGAATTTTTTTTTGACGAGACAGCAATGAAGCTAACGGCCCGATTTGCATTATAAAAAAAAGGTAAAGGGGTAAGTATTTAAAACCTCAAACCCTCGCTCCCTGGCTACACCACTGCACGAGCTAAGCTAAAAGCTATTAAAGTAAAATCATATTGTGTACCTCAATCTTTTCCTCCTCTCAGTCAAGCCGAACATGTCTTTGTAGGAGCTGTTGTTGGCCGACACACCCATGCCCATCCTGGTAGATTCCTTACCGTTTCCCTGGGGAAACGAATCGGTGTTTTCATGTTTCTCCTCTTCCAGGGCTCTCATCAAGTCACCGTTGACAAGCTCGGCGGTCGGTTGGTCGGCACCGTCCTCATCGCCCACGATAAAGTTGACGCCGCCACCTGTTGTGGCAGCAGCGTTAGCTGTTGTAGTGTCGGTACTCATTTTGTCATTTACAACGGCGCCTTCAGAGTTATTACAATCTGCGTTCTCTGCAACAGGATAAAAAATTAAAAAATTAAAAACATGATACGGCTGAACAGATTTATGATTAATCCGAGGAGTTATTTATATGCGTGACTTTTTTGTAGCTCGGCAGGTTTAAGGTTTTACCCGAACGTGTGCCGAATACAGATCAATACCATATGACAAAAACAGTTCCATACATGAACGGCAATAACACATAATAATAATAGTAATTAATACACGAATGGGCTGAATGTAATTTAATACTTTTTAAATGTTTGTATACTGTATAGCCCATAGAAAACAAGACAAACGGAGTTCAGGAACAAAGCTTAATTTAGTAGACGACATTAGTTAGAAGAGATTGGCAGAATAGAATCTACTGCCGCCAATTGTTTTAAATAAAAAATCATAGTATAGATTTTTGAAAATAATTAATATCTTACACATTATATGCAACATACAATTATTTTATCAGCTATAAAAAACAAAGTGTAGGCCGAGTTTGGGAACAAAACTGCGACAATCATTGATTTGCCTACCCTTTTGTAGCATATATCCATTGCTTTGCATATATAAGGCTACTATTTAATATGGCCACACATCCCTGATCGAGACGGCCTTCAAAGAAGCATAGCGCACCTTATTAGGAAATACAGAGTCAAATGGACGCAAAACCGTGTAAAAAAAATTGAAACTTAATCAAGTATTAACGGATACCCGAAAAATCAAAAACCTAGTATTAATATAATAGTATTTCATAGGTATTAAAATTAACTTAGATAAAGAATTTTTTTTTAAACTTTGAAGTATACATGTTCTCCAATATGACTGATAAATGCTAAAAGCAATTCTGTAAAAACATATGATCACTGGTTACCAGTACAAATTTAAATTAATTTTTTTCATACATACAAATTAACAACAAGTTTTACTAGTATTTAACCTTGAGAGTAATGTCAGAGTTAACTTGTGAGTTAACAACCCAGAGTTAAAAGTTTATAATTCCATTTCATTCATTTTCCTAAAAAATCCACTATTATTCCCTTAATGCAAACTTCAAAAAAGGACACCTCCTTTTTTTAAAATTTATTTTTTGCTGTAATTACTTATAAACCTTTTAATACCTTATACATATATATATATATATATATATATATATAATATAATTTATAATATAAATGATTATATAATTTTGTATAGCAGAAAGTTACATTTAAATTTTACTTCATTCGTTTACAAATCATATGACTCATGACCCTTATCAAATTAGATAAAAACAAATAAGGCTGACATTAGTTTTGTATTTTTTTTCTGTATAACACATACTAAACTCTAAAGGGAACTTTCGGGGATAGGATCTCGACGACGTTTCCTAAACGAAAATGTTATTTTTACATATGTATAATGTACCGTCAAACGGGCCAACTTGGGGCATTATGGGTAATTTGGGGCATATGTGTAAAAAAATATACATTAAAATATAATATATTTGACCAATGCCCCAAATTACCCATAATGCCCCATGTTGGTTCGTTTGACCAAATGGTATGTATTATACATACATATGTTTATATATTAAAGGTTCAAAACACTAAAATGTCAAGTTCGGAAAATAATGCCAGTAAGATGGTGTCCGTTTCTCTGTATGCATTCAAGAAAAAATCATACACCGAGATGTTACAGAGTCCTGTATACACGATTCGAGGAATGCATACAGAGGAACGGACTCCATCTTACTGACATTATTTTCCGAATTTGAGATTTTAGTGTTTTGAACCTTGAATGGCATATTATGTACTCTACGTTTTCCACAATAAACATTGAAAATATTTTTTTTAAACGTATGTGAGAGTTATTTCAAATTTTCCCGTTTCCCTGGCCTACTCTGTAGTATAAAAATTGTGTGAAAAATTTGTTTTAAAAAAAAATGGAAATACCACAAATTCATGTGAATTTTCCTGCGCTATTGTTAATAGCAACGAAGCGAAGACAAATCAGAGAATTTTAATAATTATTAATTAATATGAATACGTGTAGATTACAATAATCGTGCAAGACCGATTTAAAAAAAAACAGCTATATTGGCTACTGTGTATCTTAGATTTTATGGTGATGACTACAATAAAATTAAATGTATATGTATTGTATGTTATATTAAATTGCCATCGCAAATCTCGAAAATCCGGATTGAAAAGAACACCAATGCAATTAGTTATTAGGCGGCTTGTGACCACGGACGTAATTTTTACCTCATCGTTCCGGTTTTTTTTATCGACCATGTCAAGGTTAAATAAAATCGCTAAGGTTAATTAAACTTCTAAGAATCTAACTAGTTTAAGCCTAACACAAATAAATATTCTCCGACGGTTTCTATTACTAATATAAAACATACTTAAAACAACATCACTAGCAAGTGACAATAATTAAATTTCCATATTAAAAACAATTTCATTAATGACAATTTTGAGCGAAACTCGAACACGGTAGAGAAAGTAAACGTCGTATTTATTTTTTTATAAAGTCAGTCTATTAGAACTTAAAATACTAAAAATCGGTAAAGCTCAACCGCAGATATATTATTAAACCATACATCATGAAGAGGAAATTATATTTTCAGATATAATAATGAACATTTGTTTCAAGAACAAAACCTAAGGATGCTTTAAATAATTTATTGTATATAGATTAATATTCAATAGGTTTAACTTCAATGTTTTTTCCAAATTTCTAATTTTTTATGATAACTACCTAGTGAAAACTAGTCTATCCGGACTAAAACGTCTTTATATATTCTAATACATTCTCGATACAAGACAAGTTTAAAAAAAAATTAATAATACACAAAAAAATGATTTTTTTTCAACGAAATCGTTAAGTTACCTAACAGTTGAACATTTATTTCTGTTTACTATCCATATAAAATAATGCAAGGTCAATATTTAATTAATACAAAATAGTAATTACTATATTACAAATTTTAAAACAATAGTTGGGAACAAAATTAAATAAGGCGCATTAAAAAAATGTATTCAGGTACCTATTAAGATATTAATTTTTTTTAATTTGTGACTTATATACTCTAAAAGTAGCAATTCTAGACAATTTTAAACTTTTATTATATAGTCATTAGTTTAATTGTTTATACTTTGAGAGTTCTGTGGTAGTATTATCAAATTTAAAATTGACCTCTATCTCAGGTCAATCAAAACTCAAACAGCTCGTGTCCCTCGGAGGGGGCACTTAAGTTATAAGTTTAAACGGAAAAACGGTCGTCTGGCCGTGGGAAAACGGCAGGGCAGACCCATGTTGTTGGACTTGCGTGGGCAAAGTTAATAGGACACTGACCTGGTGTACGGTATACCTCCGGTGTTTGCGAAAGTTCGGGTTGTTTTGACGGTTCCTCGCCGCCAAAAATGAAATCTCTTACGTTACGGAAAATGGTGATAACTAATTGGTACACAGCTATCAATATCGAATATATCATAATACGATTACAATCGTTTTCGTCGGACGAGACCTTCAACGTTGACCGGCATGATCGACGCGCGATTACTGACTATTATAGTAGCTGTAGCTGAACACTTTAGGAAATTTGAATATAGAACGAATAATAAAAAAAAAAAAAAAACACTGCACAACACACCTGGCGACGGTAGCGGACTAAATGAAATCCAATTCACACCCTTATCAGTTTATCACTGACGAGCCGTCGAACAACAGCCGGTTGCGTGTATGGCGGGAAGCGAGAGGAGGAGGGGGTGTGTGCGAGAGAGATGGAACGCGTCAGGCCGGACGACCGACAAAAAAAATCAAACCCACCGGTTTAGAATAGGGGGAAACAAACAAAAAACTTTAAATAAAAACTAGAAAAAAAAAACATAATATACGAATTATAATAATAATAGTAGAATCTATTATACTCGATGGTTTTCCGGGTTACAGAGATTGACGGTAGAAAAATTGAACGGTAACGGCGACCGACGACAACGGTTACTACTTACTACTGTGTTAAACAACACTCACAAGACATTGATGAGTTCTATGGGCCGCAACGCGCTGAACTTCGAAATTTACTATGCCGACCAGATATAGTTATATACAGACTATAATAATATAGTAAATAGTAGTAGTAGTAGTAGTAGTAGTAACATACTTAACCAACACAGTACGGAGCGCACAGCTTCAAGTTATTACATTAAATGTGTACACGTAGGCAAAATTACATTATACCTAATGTTTTTAGTACAAGTATTATTACTATATATCATGTATCTGTGTAACGAAGGTAAAAAACCTGATGCCGTCGCTTTAAACTAGAATTTATTAATAATACTAATATAATAATAACGATAACGTGAAAAATAATAATATGCGAATCGACCTTGCGAGCACGCTGCTGTGTGCCGGTGGTGGTCGTCCGCAAGACGTCTGACTCGTTTATGACCGAAGCTGTTAGCTTTGAGGTTAAAGGATTTCCAGTTTACTATTAAAAAAAAAAACTTGTCCTACTGACGACTGCCACCACTGAGCTAACTTTTGACATTTGTGCATAAATCCAATATATGGAATTTGTCAGAGTGGAAATATAAATCTGTAATATACAATAGGAAAATATAAAATAAAAGAAGCTAACTTTTTAAAACATTTCATTTTTAAACTTTTGGTACTTGTTAAATATAGAAAATACACTGGCGGTGTAAAGCCCACAGCAATGAGATCTTTACCATTGAGATCTTTTTTAGGCCCGACTACTTGGAGGTTAAAGTGAATACAAATCTTATACCGAGTTTTCTAATAATTGAGGCTTCATCCACTAATGAGCCTATACAGATTAGCATAGAGTACTGATTTTATTTTTCATTTTCAATTGTAATGTATCACATTTAACATAACGAGTGCTACAGCCCTCCTATTTTATTAGGTTAGTTTTAAAAAAATATATAAACTAGAATCTGATACTTTCCACGGTATATTAAAGAGTTTTCGTTGTTTTATTATGCATCTACAAATAATGGGAAGAAAA